CCAAGCAAGTCAGTGAACCCGCTCCCTACTCTTGGCCCATCTACAAACAATGTACTAAAGTCTTGTACGTCATGTATGTATGCACATTTGTGGTATCAGTGGTCTGGAGATGGTTAAGAGGCCTTTGATTATGCTAAAATGCTGCAAAAACTCAATGAAGTGTTGAGTGGACAGCATAGTAATGTTAGTAGATGTTGGACTTTGTAGTGCTGCCAAATACATCATTCAAACTTTGCCATGCTCCCCTTTTACTACTGCAGTTAACACACACGAGACAAGCGTGTTTTTTCTTCTTACAAGTCCACATACATGACTGCACGCGTTAGAAAGTCATGCACTTAATGACATTTCCATGGGCCAGAATTCCCCCAGATAAGATCGGACAGGCTCACATCATAATTTGAAGGGTAATAGTGTCTGTTCAGCTGGGAGCGGACCCCGGGTCCGGCCGTGACAAGTGACTGTGAACAGATGGCGTCAGCGATAGGACACGCTGGAAAAAGGACGGAGCGATTTCGGGGGATGCTTATATAAGATAGGGATCAGCAAAGAGGCGTACAACATTGGAACTGGTCAAACATGCCGTCTGAGGAGTGTCTGTGGCTTTCAATTCTCAACTTCATAGCTGCAGCAGTTACCGCAAATGGCCAGGCCTAGTGACCTGTCAAAATTTGATTGGTGTACACAGGGCTCGAAATTCATTTTTGGGGAATACAGGTGCACTGGTGCGTCTAGCCTAGAAATTTTGGGTGCACAACATGAGATAAAGCAGCATGTCACTGGCTGCTTCTCTTCACAGCTTGAATATGAATATGCTGCATACTAGAGGTGTATAATATAGTTAATTTAGGTATGTACATGTACTAAATAAAGTATCAAGGTGCACCTGCTTACCTGCCCACTTATAGACCTTCTGCACCCACTGTCAAAAATCAGGTGCACAATTTTGGGTGCACAACAGTACATAATTTTTTATGCACTTATTATTTCCAGCCCTGTAGCATGAATAAACATGGGGCCAGTACAAATGTAGCTCTGGTACTAAAGGTGATGTGGTTAATTCAGATCTAACAACCAAGACCAAAATATAGTGATATAGACTCATGTTTTCATGTTCAAATAGGTAGCCTCAAAAATTGTAATAGTGTACATAATGTTGCTTTCCATGAATTGAAATGAATGAGTTAGAATGTCTGTTGTTAATGGGCAGGGACATGTTGTAATGTAATGGATGTCTCAGATCACTACAACAACAGTTTCAGCACCATGGACAGGGCCTTGGGAATCTATCAGTCATTAAATTTTGACTAGGGCCAAATATGGTTAAGACAATAAGTGTTGTGCTGTTCTTGGTAAAACCACACTGTCACATAGTTCTATAGTGGTGTGGGATTTTCATTCAGAAACTTAGCAAACTACATGTATCTATGGTGGTTTAGAAAGAAAACTAAGTTGAATGTTACATGGTACACTGCCATTTACTATCTCTGGCATCATTTTGTCAATAGGAAGATCCAATTAACTGTGAACTAGGTCACATTGTTATTGGCTTCAACTGCTGCACCTTTTTCTGATTTGCAAAACAAACAAAAAATTTGGGTTCTGAATCAACTTCCAAATGCTCTTATTTTCCCAACAGTTGAAAAATGCCTTCTTCATTTTTACAATTTTTCAATCATCAATAAGCCTTGTATATCGATATTATTGCTCCTAAAGCAGGGCTATCATGGGATGCCTTAGTAGACTTGATTTTTTTCACTAGGCCACTTCATTATTTCCAAACTAAATCCAAGACCCAACAAATCAAATTGGTGTGGCCTTAGCCACACTTACTGGAGGTTACCCGGCAAATGTTCTAACTAAGCACGTGTGCTGTAAGTCCAGGTATCCCACCAAATATAGAGGGATTAAAGTCCTCCCCAGCCTTACCACTTGCAGGCATGCCGGTGCCGTGTAATTTTAGCTGTGCCTGCTGGATCATTAGTTTTCCTAATGAAAGAACTTTCCCGGTAAGTAGGTGCTAATTATGTAACCAACCCCTGCCATTAGTACACTGTGTAACCACTCCTTGTACTGTTGCCTATCTTGATGCAATTACAGTCCTGTGCCGGGGAGGCTTAAACTGCGCCCATTGATTGTTTTTCGTCCCTTTCACGTGTACCAGAATTAAAGGCGATGTTTCGGGAGGGGTTATAAGTCATCGATCTCGGGCCTGCCTTGTACGTCGTGTTGTACTATCAAATTTCCTGCCTCTGCCAGCGTCTAAAGACCTCGTCTGCGCGGTGTGGAATTCTGTTTCCAACCGGCCCCTTGATTACGCAATTAATTCCAGTGGCTTACGCCGTTATCCCCCAAATTACGACTTGCCTCCTCATATCAGTACTTAGGAGTGACGGGGTGTAATATGATCGCGGCCTGACCTTGTCGAGAGATGCCTCCGCGTAATAATTGGTGTTAAGAAGAAGCCACTAGATCACTGAATTAATTCCCCTTGATTTCTTCATTTGACTCCAATTACTGGCAAGGTCCATGCGCGAAGAGCAATCTACAGTTGCCAATTTCAGGTGCCAATGGCCACAGACAGGGATAAAGGGCCGCTTGTCCGGAGCTATCCTGTAATGTATTGATGATGAGTTCCTGTCAGACTACTTGTTAGGCATGCAGAAGAAGTGGGGGAGACAACTTTTTACTGTGTCAAACTTGCAAAGTTGTATAAGATAGAACTGCCCTCCTTTTGTTTTGTCGTTTCCGGACTCTAAAACAAACATGTCTCTTGTGATTCATAATGCCTGGGCAATGGAAAATAATCTAAGTGACCACCAAAAAGTGGCCGAGAGTTGGCTACTAGTACTAACATTGCACAGTCCAACCTGCCCAAGAACACCACTCATTGCATCAATTAAATCTTGTCTATGTGGACAGGTGGTCACCAATTCTTGATACTTGATGAGAAAGAATATCGAAGGAACCACCATTGGTCCTTATGTAGAGGTGATGACTTGTACAGGTTTGACTGTATTCTGAGAGTATGGTGTAGAATAGTATAGTACAGTATCATGTCCTTTGTGAACATTTCTATTTTTGTGCTATATAAGTATGATCTGTGAATGTCTTGGTGCTAACCCTGTACAATGTAAATACCTTGTGACAACATAAAAGGATGTCTAAACTGCTACCCCGGCCTGTCTCCATGTCACCGCTTCACGCCGCGGCCTGTCAGTTGACATGTGCATCACATTCATCCCTCCCCCCTTTACCCTTGAAGTGTAGCCGTAGCATCTTGGGCATGACGGAGATAAGGGAGAATCGCCCGGCTTGTCTGGCCGGGTCCCATCAGTGGCAATTTCCTTGGGTTAACCTTTGGCATGAGAAATCCTGCTACTCTATATTCATTGGTAATTTTCTGCCTTGGTCACGCTAGACATGCCACAATATCCCCTTCCTTCAAGTGTGGTCACTGCCCTATATCCCTGGAGGTACCCAACATTACTGTGCTAAAGCAGTATCATTCAAGTGGTGTAATTGTGTGGTGTAGAGGTCATATCCCGGCTATAGTGTCACCAAACATTTGCCCAAGAGCGCCATAAATGCGGTTTAAGGAGCACGCCGGAGTGGCCGGGAAGGAACGACAGATGAAATCTATATTCCGTTCAGCGCCGAGGGGTCAGGTTTTTTAATAACATCACAATAACTATGTTTATCATTCCTCTCGACCAGCCACCTCGCCTGGGTGTGATCAGGGAGCGTGTCTTCTGCCAGCCGCTGCCCTTGCTGCCTGCCACGGTCGCATCAGGATGCAGCGCAGGCTCGCGCAGTCTGGCAGGGGGAGGGCCCAGTCCAGGCTGCTCAGCCCACATTCATTTCTGTAATCCTGCCAAAATTATCAACTTAAAGGGGGACAAAAGTCGTGAAGAGGGTGTTATTTGACAATAGATAATTTTTCGATGAATAATGGCTGGCTTTCCAGTGCTTGGTTGAGTTCAACTTCAAGCTTTTCAGCTCACATTCATTTCACTAATCCTGGCAAAATTATCAACTTAAAGGAGGACAAAAGAGGGTGTTATTTTCCAATAGATATTTTATTGATAGATACATAATCGTTTGTTGATTAAGTTCAAGTTCAAGCTTTTCAGGCCACATTCATTTCTGTAATCTAGTGAAAGTTGTGAACTTTAAAGAGCACAAAAGTCGTGAAGGCTAGGGGGTTTTATTTTCCGATACTTTGATTTATCCATGAATGCATAATGAGCTGACGTTTTGGGGAATGTCAACACCAAGCTTTTTAACCCACATATATTTCAGTAATCCAGTCGCAATAATGAACTTAATTACTTAGGATGTTGATGAAAAGTCCTTTACAAGGACCGATGGATGATGTTTCACCATGTTTGATTGATGATGGGACAAATCTAGCAGGTGTGTAGGCCCACAACAGGTGAACGGTGGAGCATTCAGGAAGATGTGATCAAAGGCAACAGCATCTATTCTGTCCCTCAATCTTTTCAAGGCCACACCAATCTATTTCCTTGGTTCTCGGTGTCAGTGGTAAAGTGCGTAGACAGAATCAGCGATAAATTCTCAATAATAAAGAAGAATTTCACAAAAACTCATTTTTTTGTGTTTGTGCATTAGGAAAATGTTATTGAAGACAAACACTATAAATACATTCTTTCCCACAATCTGTCCAAGGCCACCCCAATTTATTTTCTTGTTTCACCAACATTACTTTAAGCAGAACTTCATTAAGTGGTTAAGAGAGAAAGAGGGCAGGGAGAAAAAACCTGAAGTTTTATTGGTTGACATGCATACACTATGAAAAAGTATAAACAGTTACAACACTTTCAAATGCTTGTCCCGTATAGATTGCATTTTCCTTTAATTCTTTCTGAATTCTTTCAAGCTGCATACATGTTTTATACAGAATCAGAGACAAATCCACAATTATTATGAATAAAAGAAATTCTTCAATTTCTTGTCTTTTGCCTGTGTTTGTGCATTAGTGCAGAGATAGTGGGCCAGGTGCTGCATGGTCGAGCCAGGTGCCCCAGCTGCCAGCACAGTCTCCAGGACCACAGGACACAGACGGGGGAGGAAGCAGCAGTAGTAAGTGAACGGGCTTGAAATACTTTTTCTGCATACCTGCATTGGTGCACGTAACATACAAAATCTACCTGCACCATACACTAATGAAGTATTGATCAAACAGCAACTGTTACAATATACTAGAAATCTAGTATAAAGTGGCTGTTAGTGATCACTACTGCGTCACTCTTTCCTTTCCAAGAACTGTTACCATACAGTAGACCTAGCAAAACCAATAATCAATACCCTTGTTGTCATTGCTTTATTCAAACACAATACTATAGCAGCACAATCATTATAATACAATACACAATGTAATCACTTCGCAGCCAATAAGGCTGAATTGTGTGATTTAGAGCATCTGACAATTATATAGCGAAAATCCCGAATGTCACTCACTCCTTGTATTAAAACAGTACATTACAAAATATCTTTTAAATCATTGAGATTAAGGAATGACAGACTATACATGATTGTTTAAAATGTGGACAAGGTACATGTATGGTAGTGTGCTTCTTGTTGTTAAATCAGTACATTTGCTGCTGGTATTATGTGGGGTGGGTGAAACATCAGAGGATGGCAGTGTCCACATGTTGCTCGGATCTGGATCTGACCCGGGCTATCTCGCTGTAATGTCATCAAAGGTTGCACTTCACATCCACCCAGGCAGTTATTACATTCACCTCCTGAACTTTGGGTCACAGGGCCGCTTATTTCAGCTCCAGCAGGTCGTGTCACCCAGAGAACACTTCACACAGAGAGCATGCCGGGCTGTAGTTCTTTGTTCAATGTGGTTGTTTATAGAATGAATGTCTTGTGGTTGTTTATAGAATGAATGAATGAAGTTCATTGCTCGACATATATACATGGTAGTGATGGTACAATGTATGGCAACAATGACAATGTGATCAATACAATCAAGTCTATTGTAAGAGACTACTAGTATTACTACAGGGATATGAAGTTCAACGTAGACAGCATATGACATGATGTGCGTTTTAAGTGTTGCTATCTGTTACAATACTTTCTCTCTTTTGTTGTTGACGTATAATTAGAATCTGAAGGTTCTGGATTCAAATCCTTCACAAAACCAATTGTTTTGCCTTTGGCAAAAGCACCTTACACCTATTTTTTCACTCAACTCCGTGAAAATGAGTACCTTGCTTTGGTTTGGGCTGTCCTTTCTTATGAGACGTTATGACAGAGATCATCCTGTGTTTCAGGACAGCCACAACTCCAACATGTTAAAGATCCCACCACTCTTATCTATCAAAACTGGTGTGAGTGGATCAAACATCCTTTTGATTTTCAACAATTCAGTATTATTTTGTTTCATTATTCATAGTTGAACTGTGACTACTTTTTGGCTTACTTCTATGATTCTCAGACTAAAGTGATAAAAACAGTGCCCTAAAATATCCCCCAAAACAAGATGGAGTCATCTCAAATTTGGTCCTCAAAATGTGGGAAATAGCATTTCAGAGGGTCAAAACATTTCAAATTTCCTTGGGGGGAGCATGCCCCCAGACACCCTACAGTTTTCCTGCATTTACAATGATCCATGTGCAGTGCAAAGTGCATCCTCTGTCATAATGACATGACAGGCATGCAATTTATGGACCGACTGTAACCATCATCATGCTAAGGCCACAGCAATTTAATTTGTTGGTTTCTTGGATTTTTTTAAGAAAAAATATGAAGCGACAGGGCGAAAAAAATAAAAATGAAAATAGGTCTAGGCATCCTATTATAGCCCCAAATGTTACAAAGGGGCCATGAAGTCAACACAAAAGGTTGATATTTAAACAATGAATTTTGAAGTTTCAATCAAAGCACTGCATTGATAGATGGAAAAATTGTACAAAAAAATGGAACAACTAGGAAGGAAAGGACTTTCCTAAACTGTTTGGGGCAAAATATGAGCATACATGTATTTGAGTTGATACAGAACCAGAATCTTTTTTGCAAATCAGAAAAAAATGAAGAAGCAAATCAGAGAACCAACAAATTAAATTGGTGTGTCCTAAGGTAGGCATTTGGCACCAAGTTTGTGTTAGTTATAGGGTGGCAAGGAGAAGGTTAACCCAAAGAAATATGTGGGGTTTGAAGAAACAAAAGTGGGATTCCAGTCCAAACAACAACAAAAACCTCACACAAAGGAAAGGCACCCTGCCTGCGATGGCATTACTGTGTGTTTGCAAGAATCATTCAGTGATGTAAAAATATACAGAAGTGTCCCAGACTTCCCAGGTGACCTGACCCCAGGCTGCCAGAGTGCTGACCCTCATGACATATTCATCGCCCTGCTTCACAAGGTGTATCTGGGGGCACTGACCTTAACAAATCCGGGGATGATTATGATATTTTTCTGACACATCTGGATTGGTGCCTTTGCTTGTGGGCAATTACTTTTTCTTATGCATTTTTATGGCGGAATTTGGAGTAACTTACTTACACGGCACCAAGACCTTTGGCTGTGACACTATTGATGTTTCTGTCGTGTCCAGACTCGCGGATACTCAATGTCGTTTAACGAGAAAGGTGAAAGACTGGTCTCTTTGGAACTATATGTACATTTGTAATGACCAGTGCATGCCATTTACATTTCATGAGTTGATGTTCTGTTTAACAGATACAGGATAACAAAGGATTATTCTGTATCTGTTTTTCGTTTGATTGTTCCACAATTCTTGTAAAAATTTCTAATTTCAATTTTGTAATTTCAAAAGTTTCAACAAATTGAAAATAAAGGCTTGATTCAAATCATTGGAGTGTAAGAGGAAATTTAGATAGATTTCATATGCTTCTCTCCAGGTTTATACCCATTATCCTGATGGTGTTTTTTTCTGAGATTGTAAAACATATTCACAGTATTCAGTCTCAAAAGCTTAGAAGTACTTTGCTAACCTGTGCCAGGCATCCTCATATACATGTACTACATCAACTGCAAAAGACTGTTTCCCAGTAATAACTTCAGTGGCCGTACAACCAGGCCCTGTGACCTGAACAAAACAATGGATGTCTCTCCAGACCAAAGGTCACTTTTAGTTAAAAAGTTGGGGTAATTATTTGGCAGTCCCTGCAGACCGCCGCGAGACAAATTATGTTCCTTACCGCGGGGTGCAGCAGGCATCAAAGCCTGTTCACCAACCAGGCTGGTTTAAATGGTGCCCCTGCTGACCTGTGTGTGTATGTGTGCCCGTGCTGTCAGGCTTCAACACTCGCCTGCAAATCTGCCTAACTGGTGAGGCTTTTTTTGTGCAGCTGCCGGTCCTTTACAATCTCAAATGGGCGAGAAAACTGTCCAGTAGTAAAGATTGGACAAGACAGCAGTCTTAGGGACTAGAAGGGAATCTACAAGAAAACTTGAAGAAATGAAATGAAGTAGAGATCAAGATAGAAAGGACACTTCTACATGCACTGGGCAGGAAGGTTCCAAATGTAATGCTTTTTTTAAATGCATACTCATTTTTGTTTGTTTTATTATTAAAGACAGCAGTCTTAGGGACTAAAAGGGAAATCTACAGGAAAACATTCGAAACACAGAGTGTGAAATAGAAATCAAAATAAAAAAGGGAACTTAAAGGTTGTAGGTGTGCTGGACAGGAAAGTTCCAATTGTCCAGATTTTGTTTGCTTTATTAGGAACTCCATTAGTGTTACAATTCTTCATGGAGTCTGTGACAATTGATGCATAAATTGTACAATCAAAAAATAAAAGTAAGTAACAATTGGTAGACAGAAATTAAGGAGAATCAAATGAAGTAATCTTAAAGTGAGCAGGAGGACTAGACGACCGATACTGTGTCTGGAAACACATTTGTCTCTGCCATCTCACACGGTGAGTGCGATATGATGATACGGCTGCCTTCCTGAGCACGATATAACTAACAAGCACACCTCAGATGGCTTGATATCAAAAACTTGGGTGGATTGCCGGGGTCAAGCTCGCCATTATGTCCACATTGGGAGCGACTACACAGCCTGGGAATGTCCTCCCAGGTCCGCGCTCTATCTGGATAATCTGGCCACACTCATTCGATCTCCGGCGTGGCCCGTCTTTATGGACACACAGGGATACTGGCCGGCAGCGCTAACGGCGGGGAGACATGATTGGCAGGAAGGCGCACGTATGTTGACTAGGAAGGGGCACGACCCCTGCTGCCAAAGTTATCAAGGGTTCCTCCATCAAGGGGTGCTAAGGCCAATATGTTCTGACTGCCCAACGACAAGATGTCAGGGTGCACGGGGCTCTGGAGTGGGTTAGCTGGATACCATTTTTTTAGTCCTTTTAGTTTTACTGTCCTGCAGGTGCCAGGAATGTGCTGTTCTAGATTGTTTTACAGATGCCAGGAATTTGTTGTTTTAACTAAT